TTTTCAACTGTAATTTTTTCCGATCACTGGGTAGCCTGGGGAACTGTTCTGGAAAGCACAGAACTGAGGGAAGGATCAACGCACTGTAGCAAGCCTGACAAGAAAAGGACTTTGGGATTCTGTTACGTGCTAAAGCTAGAGAAAGACAGACAATAAAACAGGAGAAGAATATCCAGGAGAGCTGAACTTTTGTTAGCTTTAGCAGGGCATTTTTTTCATTATTTTTACAGACACACGTGCGTTTTAAATCACACTGCAAAAAAAAAGTTCAAGTAGCTTTTCATCAGGTAGCATTTTAACCACCTATTTTCAAAGGACCTGTTGCTGCAAAACAAAACACACTTGTAAGTAGCAGTGAACCCCCTAGGAGACCACGAAGGGCAAGTCTACACTACTGCTTAAGTCAATCTAACTTACATTGCTCGGGTGTGAAAGACACCCCTCCCCTTCACCCCTGAGCGACAAAAGTTACAGCGATCTAAACGCTGTCCACACCAGCACTATGTGCAGCTGCGCCAATGTAGCATTTCTAGTGTAGACCTGCCCTAAGTTGGGTGAACAGACAAAATAAGGTGCAGTAGTGCCCACAGCAGGTCCTTCCTAGAGCAGCTCCACACTACCACCTTCTTGGGCCAGTACTTATGAGGTACCACTGGCCTTCACACAATGATTATTTCTGTTCCAACAGTGTTTAGAGACCACATCTGAGTTTGGAACAATGTTGTTCTAGGAGCTGTACAAACACAAGTAAGGGCCCTGCCCTGAAGAGTTTACAGTTTAAACAGACAAGACAGAAAAGGGTGTGACAGAAAATAGTCTTATCCTCATTTTACAGAGATGACCCATTCAAAGCATCTGTTGCTGAAAAAAAAAGAAAAAGAAAAACAACAAAACACCACTTATAAATGGCAGTGAACCCTTCAGGAGATTTAACCAGGCCACAGATTTTGGCAGGGTTCCTCAAATTGAAGATGCAAGAGTCACTTAGTGAATTACTCTTTTATCAACTCCCGGTAATTGAATTAACTCACTGGTCAGGTATCATAGATTCACACACGTTTCCTCTCAGCTGCTGTGGAGCTGCAAGAGTTATAATTAAAGGCAATGCAGCAGCAAGCAAATGTCTGTTTGGTTCATGTCTTGTTGAGGTGAGACAGAGAACTTCTCTCGTGTGGAATCTTGGCACAAGGGAAGCTACAGAAGTAGTCGTTCCAGACCAGAACTCAACTTTGTTTGGGACTTCCCTATATGCCCCATCCCGGATTCCATTGCAGTTTGGAGAAGCCACTGTATTGGTTTGACCCATTCCAGCTTACTGATATGGACTTTGAAACATTTGAGAAATTAATACTGTCCTGAAAAACATCCAGAGTTCTGCACAAGAATCAGTGCATGCTGGGGCAGGACTTCGAAGGGGAGGGATAGCTCAGTGGTTTGAGCACTGCTAAACCCCGGGTTGTGAGCTCAATCCTTGAGGGGGCCACTTAGGAATCTAGGGCAAAATCAGTACTTTGTCCTGCTAGTGAAGGCAGCGGGCTGGACTTGATGACTTTTCAGGGTCCCTTCCAGTTCTATGAGATAGGTATATCTCCATATATTATTATTTACTGCGAGATAGATGTCCAGCCAGATGGGATCCAAAAGCAGACAGATACTACGGTAATGGGCACAATATAAAAACCTAAGTAGATCTTTATGTGGCTAGATAGTTTCACTGATACTGAATAGAACAGGGCCAATTTTTTTTTATTGTAAACATTTGCAAAGTTGTAGGATTTACTTTTTCAAAAATTTTCCTGCTTATTATTATTGTAATGTAAATTGTTATCAGAATGTTCTGTTTGCTGCATACCACGCTTTCAATAAATGAACATTTTAAATTGAGGCGTCAATAAAAGTTTTTATTACAAAAGTCACAAAAACAAAACACAAAATTGAAAAAAAATCAGCAGTTTTTCATTCAATTTTCTTTTGACACACAAAAACACATCATTGGGGAAATTTTGACCACCCTTAATGGTGACACACTGGAATTCCAAGTTCCCACGGACCAGGGACACAGCAGGCTGTATCTAAACGCTGGCTGTCAAATTCAGAGGGTGCAATGTCTAGTGGTTGACATATAGAAATGGGGTTCAGCAGTTCTGGGTTCTGCCATTAATTTGCTGATGACAAACCATAAAAAGATTGTAGGGGTTTCATTCATTAGATGTGGGTAAGTGTTAGAAGAGTGTAGCATATTATGCACTCTAGTGAGATGTGCAGCATGACTCAAGTAACGAAAGAGAGTTACTGAGACTAGAATAGCTTATAGGGAAGTAATGGTGTATTCAGTAAAGCAATCAACAAGCAGGGGTTGAAATATCTGCTGCACTGCTATTCTCTCCAGACCGAGCGTGTCTAGGCATGTTGTATGACCTATTTTCTCTGCTCTGCCCATCGTTCACGCTACTCACAGCTGAATGGGATATTTCTTAGGCGGGGGAGGGGGAAAATGCCCTCCTTTCTTTTGCCTCCTATGAAGGGACAGGGCTGGGCCTGGTTGCCGGTTGTAGTTTGGCCTTTTTAGCTTCTGCAAAAGATCACACTATGTAGCAGATTCTCAGCTGGTGTAACTCAGCACAGATCTGTCTTTGAGGGAGCAGTGCCAATGGATAGCCCATATATTTTGAGCTCTGTTAGAACCATTGCTGGATGCGAGGCAGACTGTGCCCTCCCTGCTGTGCGTGGTTCATTCCCATCCCAACAGTCCGCCGGCTTCCTGGTACATGTGGAGCACTGTGCTTCCTGGAACTGTCTCCACCTAATCCCACGGGTCTGCCTCTGCCATACAGTCAGGCTTCAGCAGCGCACTGCGGGACGTTCCCATGAAGCTTTTCACATTCCTCTCCTGTTCTCAGCGGATGTCACCAGGGTAGGAGAAAGGCCCATGGAAGAGAGGAAAGGTTTTCCTGCAGAAAAAGAGGATCCTTGCAGGCTGCCCATCTCGGCTTATTATTGCCTGGCACCTGTGTCCCGGGGCATAGGTCCAAGCAAGTTGTGAGCAGGCACAAGGCCATCACAACAGATGGGCATGAGCATAGGCAGTCATGAGACCGTGATCCTGCATCAGCTCAGGGCATTGACTGTTTAGGGCAAATTTCCCAGCGGAGAATGTCAAAACAGCTGCCAGTCTGGAGTTTATACACCTATAATTAAGGGGCTCTGTGATTTCTAATCCAGCTGGATTAATTGGCAAGCTAAATATAGCATCCAGGACCATGTAAGGCAAGTTTTTGTGTGTGGTTTAAATCAGGAAATAGGGCTAAGGCTGGCACGAGCAGGCACTGAAAGAATAACGCCTCAGCCCTGGTCTCGAGCTCTGCAGTCACTGCAGGCCTGAGCCCACTGAGAACCCTTTATTCCCATTCCTCAGTAACGGTATCACAACGGCACATAGAGGCTTTAACCAAGAACTAAACCTCATTGTGCTAGATGTGGAACAAACACATAGCAGGAGATAGACCCTGCCCCAAAGCCCTTACAGTGTAAATAGACAAGACAGAAGAAGGGAGCATTATCATGCCCATCAGCACTGGAAGGATTAAGGGATGAAGTCTGATATCACACAGGAAGTCTGTGGCAGAGACTGGAATTTAACCTAGATCTTCTGAGGGGAGCTGGTTGGATTAATCAGGAAGGTTTCTTAGAGACACCCTCTGCCAACCCCCTTATGGCCAATAGCCTGTGGGGGCAGGGGTTAAGGAACATCACTGGGATGTGGGAGACCCTGGATTAAATTTCCACTTTGATTGATCAGGAGCAGGGACTGGAACCTAGGTTTCCCACATCCCTGGTGAGTGCCCTAACCACCAGGCTATTGACTAGCCTAGCATTGGGTGTTATTTTTTCGTGAAAAAATGTTGAAAGGTCTCATTTTCCTTCCACCTCAGAATGAAAACTATTTTCAAAAACTCAGTATATTTCATGAAATGGAATTGTTGTCTTTCAGTCAGCCCATTTCTGAGTTCCAGTCCCCCAGCTTAGCCACAAGACCATCCCTCCTCTCGGGGGGAAGCTGAGCCTTGCAGGAGCAAGTCCTCTGAAAGGTAAGATAGTTCCCTGGATCTTGTAAGCCAATGGCCAAACCGTGCTCTTAGCGGACATGCAATCCCACTGCTGTCACACTGGGTTCATGTGCATAACTGAGCAGAATTGGACCCAAATGTCTTTCTTTCTGGTGCCTTAAACTCAAGTGGTATTCTGATAAGCACCACCCTCTTTTTGTAGCCTTTCAAGGTGTCCATAGGAAGATGCTTTGGGAGGCCTTGATGGTGGCAGAACCAGTGGGGGGAAAAAGAAGAAAACTCTCTTCTCCCCAAACTTCACCTGTTCTTCAAATGATCCTGACCTTTTAGTAAAGCTTCTGAATTATGATTTTTGTGGTACTTTCTTTACATTTGCTGCTGCCTTTAAGCTTCCGATAACTTGTAGGTAAGGTGGGAAGTTCAGCAATAGCGTGAGAAATATTCTCAGCCAGGAACAAAAACAGAAGTGACCGTAGGCTCTTGTAAGATTCCTAGCCTCTTCTAACACCCTGGTGCATTCACTTATACCAGTGAAAGGAAGAGAGAAAGAATCCCATTCTCACAGGGTAGCATTTTATCTCTGCACAGGGGTGAGTGACTGCACAAATTACAAGACGGTGCAGAATCAAGCTCTGTGGCTGCTCCAAGACTTATTTTACAGAGATGTAATTGCCCATGCAAATTCCAGATTGCCCTTATCCATTCCATGCAGCCACCTACTGGCCTGGGAACACAGGGCCCTATCCTGTCCTACTTGGGGGTGGGAAGGGATAGCTCAGTGGTTTGGGCATTGGCCTGCTAAACCCAAGGTTGTGAGTTCAATCCTTGAAGGGGCCAGTTAGGGATCTGGGGCAAAATCAGGACTTGGTCCTGCTAGTGAAGGCAGGGGGCTGGACTTGATGACCTTTCAAGGTCCCTTCCAGTTCTACAAGATAGGAGATCTCCATTGAAAAAGAAAAGAACTCCCAATGACTTCAATGGGATTTGTCCCTGTATAAAGAAAGGCAGAATTAGGCCCACAACATTAGGCTAATTGAACCACTCCCAGTCTTTGAATATCAATCAATACCAAGCCAGATTAATACCATACTGTGAATATCTGCAAGGTTAAATTGCTTTTAATTTTTGTTTAATTATCTGCAATGGCACAAATAACTAACAGCATTGATTTGAACTTGGCACTGACGGCAGGTTCCAAATGGCAGAGCATATTAGAGATCGAACTATTAAATGTAGCTAATGAGCAACATAATTATGTAGCGCTAAGCCATAAAAGGTTAGGCTTTAAAGGTGTCACAGTTCATAAGCAAGAAAGATTTAATCACATTTTAAATCAAATATTTATATGATAATGTGTTTTAATCAAAATAATAGCAATTAATTTGGAGGGGGGGATATAAGTGTATGCTTCCTGTCTTTGCTTTTCAGAGGGTTTTTTGCAGAGTTCACACTTTCTTACTGAATAATGTATTGGTCCCAGTCGTGAGCTCATAAAACAGTGCGTAACCTGGGATAAACTAGTACAGCAATAAATTACAGTACAGTACAGACACCATAAATCAGATTCTCCACTGCCAAACACCCGATATCATCACCCCGTAAAGCAGGTATGCTACCATTCGGAATTGGTGGCATTTTATACCCAATTTGTACAGTGTAAATGATATCATGAGGTGCAGGGCAGTGGAGAATATAGCATATGGAGCGTTCCTGTTGCGTTGCCATTCCAGGAACTACCATCACTGGAAACAGGTACCCTGTACTTCCAAGGCAAACACTGCAGTGTCCAGTAATCAGCCTTTCCAATAACCTGCCATTCCTGGAACCACACTGCTTCTGGGAAATCTATCAAAAATATCATGACAGTTTCAAAATACTTGCCCCGCCTCTGGGCGCACATCTCCACATTTAGACTAGCCAATATTTTTTCCCTTAATCGATTTAGCTTCTTGTGCTAGATATGTATAGAATTTTTGCCATCTGCCATTTTAAACACTTCATCAGTAAGTGTTATTTTTTCGTTAACTGCTAAGTTGGAGTCACGATGAAAAGCTTTCAGTGAACCACCTTTCCCTGAAATGACTTCTTTTGCCTTCAGTTTGGCCAGATGTTTCCTACTTACTTACCTGTCAAGGATTTTTCTATTTTTTTTTACATGTATAGACGTTTTCTCTAAATGAAAAGTAACATAAGGTTCTTGTTGAGTATTTTTTGCCTGGGTGAAATAGGCTGGGCTCAGCTTCATCATCAAGGCTGGATTTTATGCTTGAAGATGCAACTTAACATCAAAAGCTCGATCTTTTTTATTATTTAGCACAGCCCCTTTTGGATCAATTTTGACAAAAGCCAAAAGGTACTTTATGGCTTGAGATTTATTTTTTAAAGCTAGAACTGAGTCATGCAGTTTCTCCTGAGCCTAAGATCGTAATGACTTAGGGCCAGAATCTGCCTCCATTACTCACATCAGATAGGATTTATTTACATGACTAATTCCCCATTGAATCAGTGCCACACAGCATCACTAAGGGTTTCAAACTCAGGCCCATATTAAGCTTGATATTTGTCCCATGGAAGTCAACGGCAAAAAAATTCTCATTGACTTAAAAGGGTCAATTATTGGGTTTTCTGAAGGATCTCCTGCCCTTTACTCATATGGCAATTCCTTAAAGCCATAGAATGAATAATTTAAGCCTTTAATTATTGGAGTTGACCATTGTGGAGTTAGGTATAAACTTGTAGAGCTACTATTCAGGGTGGCCATTGGGGGGCATATAGTGAGGAGATAAAGGTCTGTGTAAACAGGAGATAACCCTGACCATGGTGTCCCAGGTCTCTGATCTCTACAACCACTGTTGAAGTGGAAAACCAGACATCACGGGACAATGATCTGACTTTGGTATAGCGAGGCATATGCCTACACTTAAATCACTTTTGACATTCAGCATTGATTTGCTATTTAGCTATGATCAGAGAGCTTTCTCTCTCTCTTCTTTTTTGGTCTGTTTTTTCCAGTGTCCCTAATTTTAGAGCTACCTCCACACAGGAAAACAAAACGATCACATTGCAGTCAAAGTACGCTTGACATGCATCTCAGCTGCTTTGACTGGGGGTGGGGGTGGGATCTGTCAGGTGCTTGTCATCCACTGACTACAAATACAGTATGCTCTTGGCTTTACACACACAAATCCTGACACCAATCATCTTGAGTTTCTTGCTATGTTTTGAAAGGAACTCAGAGGTAGTTCTGATGCCATCTTGAGTCACTTTGGCTGGATAGATATTACAATTGCACATGCAAATTGATGTCCCTGGTTCCATTCACCCCTGAGTTAAGCAACTTGAAATAGTCATGATTAGGTGGAGTGCTATACATCTGGGTCTTTACAGACATGGAGTTAAAAGGATATATTCAACACTCTGACTCCACTGATTTGCAGGGAGTACCTATCAATATTTTTACTAGTTCCTTAAAATTTTTATGCTCTACTGAAGTGGTTTTGATTTCATTTACTTCTTAGTTATGGAGGTAAATTAACTCTGGGGTCATTATTTTTTCACTAGCTAGTCCTACCTTGCCTTGAAAAACAAGGTGCAGATGGATCAATGTCTGACTCAACAGGAAATGCAGCAGTGACATTAAAAAGTGGTCGAGAAATCCCACTGGCTCAATGCTCCATCGGGCCCCTTCATGCCACTCTGGCACCACAAAGGGGCTATAAGGCTGATGGATTTGGCATAGGGGAATTACACCATCTCCTTTCACAGCGCCTGGTGGAGAAGGTGTGTTGGAGACATGGCCAAGAGAAGCAGAATGCCACTGCTAGAATGGCCCCTGGGGGGGGGGCTCTAGGCAGCTCAAGTGTAAGAGCACTCCTGATGCTGTACCATACATTGGGACTGTGTCCAGAATACAGGGGAAGGAAACCAATTTATCTCCCTCTCCACTTTCTCTCTCAGCCTCTGGAGAGCTCAGGCAGAATGGAGATGTGGGCCCCATATTTGTAAATAGAAGTGATCCCCTTTCCAGGATTCAAACCAGCTACTTTAGCTCACCTTGTGTGTTGGTTTGTAGGGATTTGCGTGAACCTTGTTTTGGTTTCTGGTCTTTGAGCTCCAGAGCTGAGCAGGTATGTCAGCCCGTAGCGTAGCTATCAAAGGCTACTGTGCTGTAGATGGGTCAATACCTTCCTGACCCGTAGGGTGATCAGCTTACAGTCTGCAGCAGGGAATCCATTTACCTTCAATTTGTCTCTGTGACTACAAATAAAATCATTCAGCCCTTTTAAAAACCCAGCTGCAGCATTAATTTAATTTGTCATATTTATACAATGTGCCCATCACTTGCTTTCTTGTCACATAAACAATCAAAACATTGACAAAAACATTCACAATAATTATCTAAATTAGCATAATGTTGAGAGAGAGAGAGAGAGAAAAAACACTAAAATAATCCCTCTAGGAAAGACCTATATGAAGACACAGGCCTTGGAAAATACCTGGGAAGTCAATACAGTGTGGAACCGTTGAGCTGAAAGGAAAACAAATTCCAGAGTCCCTCATTCTCCTCTAACGATTCCTTGCTTCTGGAGCCCAGCCGTACAATACCCTGTCCATACTACGATGTTAGAAGAGTTTGCAACCGGTTACTGGCATGGTCGTGTCCAAGCACCACGTGATTAATATGGGCAGTACTGGCAACCCCAAGCATTCAAATATTATGAATCAGGCCCCAAAATCACGAGAGCAGTTTAAAAAAATCATGAGATTTTAAAAATCTACACATTTTGGGGGTTCTTTTTATTTGACTTTTTGGTTTCCGAGCCTGGAGATGGTGCTTGGTTCACATTTTTCTTTTAAGAACAAGCAGAGAGGTTCTGAGGTGTAGGAGCTGGGGCTTTAAGAAAGTCAGTGAACATTGCAAGACTCATGACAACTTAATGAGAGGTGGAAAGACTGAACTCTGTTAGTAACAGACACCTGTTAGCTTTTGGTAACCAGGCTAGCTCAGCTGTTCTCGCTGTACACACAGGACCCCCTAAATGTGTCTGTGTAGCTGGTTGGACCAGGCTTCCCCTTTCCCAGCTCTGAGGTAGGACATCCCAGTATCCACTGTCCCAAGTACAATTCTCTACTAGGATGGAGAAGTCTCTGTAGGGTGGCTCGGCTTTGGCTCCACAACCTCGGTTCCCACTTTCGGCTGGGTCCCAGAAGAGGTTCAGAATCTTAAACTGACAAGAACAATACGTTTTGCATTCTTCCTTCTCACCCCCGCCCCTCACCCATTAGCTCATCCCCTTCTCCAAAAAGGCAGAATTTGAAAGCTCTCTCCACCAAATTGAGACATAGCTCATGCTGGGCCATCACCTCCAGTTAGCAGCTTGCCTTGGAGCCTATCAGCAGAATGAGGGTGCAAACTAGTTAAGAGTTTTACAGCCGCTGCCATTTGAAATTCATCACTTGCCAGAGCACAAGATTTCCAAGTCCTGGGTGGATTCAAGGTTTACGATGGCTCTGAAAGTTCACAGCGAGCATAAAATTGATTCACTCCCTGTTACTTTTCTTTCTCTTGCAGAAAAACTCCGTAAGGAAAGATATAGGGATCCTGTTTGCTTTTCAACATTTTGAGTAGGCTGAGAACAGTGTGTCCTGTTCCATTTATTGTCTGTAAATCACAGAAAATATCTTCCTTCTCCCTGGCAAAAATAATTAGAATTAGCAAGTTTCTTTACCTCTACCTGCTCACGTTTGTGAATTTCTGCACGGGCTTCATAAGCAAGATCTTCGCTTTCTCCACATATCTGTTATTTGTCTTCATCTTCTTCACCACTCTCAGTATTTGCAGTTTCTTCTACATTCATATAGTTGTTGTTCCCAATGATTACATCTTGCAACTTTTCACAAAGGATGGAAATGTCACTTGACCGATCCAGGCTGCTATCATCACAGGATGTCCATTCGCTTTGCTCCGATATCAAGTTGGAATCTAGTGGAATTATTAAGCAAGAGGAGAAGTGAGTGAGCATTTAAGTGACTGGAGCAGAGCAGAGCTGTGCATGATATAAATGCAACTGAATTGTGCAATCCTTAAGTTAAAATGAATACAGCGTGGTTACTGACACTGGTAGCTACCCTTTGTTTCAATCTCTGTATATTTAATTTACAATTTAAAGAACACGCATTGTAAACGATGAAGATACAAAAATAAGAAATACTGATGTGAAAAAGTACAGCATGCAGCGAAAGAGGAATCAAGGTTCTTGCAAAGTAATTACAGTTTAGCATGATGGGGGAAATACCCTAATAAATAAAATCAACCCTTGGGGTTGAATTCTCCAGTCCGCTAAGGCCACTATGCACTGCATGGTGGAAATCACAGCCATTCCCACCCCCTCGCTGGCTCCCTGGAGGGGACATGTCATGGGTAGCAAATTGCTCTGTTACGCCTTATTCGCTACTGGTGTAAGATCACTAAGGGATATTACGCCAGTGATGTAAATTAGGGCTCCCCCTGTGCAAAGTACCAATCTACCCCAGCATTAGGAAGGATGCCATGACCTGGCCCAAAGGGGGGAGAGGGGAAGGACCCAGTGACAGTGACAGTTCTAAAATCTGATTCAAAGCCCATTGAAGCCAATGGAAAGATTCCCATTGACCTAAAGAGGCTTTGGATCAGGCCCATAGTGCAGAATTTTCAGAACCGGACACCTGCCCAAATTTGGCAAGTATGACGTAGGTGTCAGTTGTCAAGTGTCTGGCACAAACCATGGAGCCAGCTCATACACATCAGGCACAGTTTACACGCAAGAGAAGCCTACAAGTGTCAACATGGCATTCGCCATCTTCACCTGAAGCATCGTCTTCCTCATTTGTCTCCTCATCTGCGAGGCTGGCAGAACCACATTGCTCATGAACACTCATTTGGTTGTTGTTTCCAATCATGACGTTCTCCATCTCGGACTTGTCAATGGTGACTCTTTGCAATGGAGCTCTCCCTTCCCCGGGGAGGGAGGTGTTAATTTTCAGTGACGGCCCAGGGCTGGCAGAAAAACTGTCATCAAATGGATCTAGAGTTAAAAAAAAAAGGGTAGGAGGAGCACTTGTCATGAAAATGAGAGCATAAGAAATCAGAAAGACAGAATCAGTGAATGTCAAAAAGGTGACGTACTCATTTCCCAGGGCTTGGGTGGGACTAAGATTTGCATGATAGTAGCAGAAGTCTCAGCATTTCAGCACTTTAGTTTGTTGCACAGAAATAAATGGACACAGATAGGAGGGTACATAGTACAGTTCTAAAAAGTTCTTGGCACTTGTGCAGCGTGTTCCATGAAGGAGCTCAAAGCAACGTACAAAATATTGGCATCTTCATTTTCCAGATGATGTTAAGAAGTTTGCCATAGGCCACTCTGCAAGTCAGTGGCATAGTCAAGAATACCCAGCTCTCCTGACTCGCAGTCCCTCACTCTAACCACTTGGGAACACTTCCCCTTTATCTAGTTGCCTCGTCCTACATCCCTTTGAAGTCAGTGGGAATCAGAGGCAGACGACAGGTGCTGAGTCAATAATAGACATTAGGACCCATTTTCTGGGCTGCACTCTGTCATAAAGTTGGTCCTGCCTGGGATGCAGGCTTTCTGGGAGGGTGTCCTACCATAAATAGTGGAGCCATATGGAAGGCTTGCAGGGTTAAGGAGGTTTTTGTTATAGGAGTTAGTCATAAATATGCGCTTGTAGGATGTCAGAGGAAAGTTTTCCTGCCCCAGTTGTGAAAGAAGACAGATATACATGGACAGGGCCGGAGCACAATAACCACTGCTACTCACACATCACAGACTCTGAGCATTAAGCCCAATTTCTAGAGTCACAAAGGTTTGTTTCAGCACTGACATACCTTGTAACGATTCACAAGTCAGCTCTCATGCAGACAGGGCTGTACTTGAGGGAGTTCTCGTATAACCAGTGCCCTGCAGAGGGTAGGAGTATCTTCAACATAAGCCAACACATTGTACCTACTCTTTTCTGGAGTGCCATATTGGTCCAGATGCTCCTCTCGACTATCAGCGAAGGCCTTCATAATGATATTCATTTGATTATCATCACCAATGACAGTATTCTTGAGTGTGGACTCAGTGACATCAATTTCCTGACCACCCTGGGGGGTTGCTTTAGCTTCTGCTTCACAGTGCAACATATCAGCATTCTCTGATGCAGCCCTAAGTCTTGGAACAGTTGGTCTAGAATCTAAAGCATAAATGGAAAGGGAAGGAATAATAACTATATTAATAAAATAAAATAATAATAATAGTGAAATTTTGTATGGGAGAGTGTCAAAACGAATCATTTTGGCAATCTCATTTTGATAAGGTCTATATTAGGTGTATATTGCAATAGTACTTTTAATATTATGTTATATTTATATATTATATATTTAATACATTTATATTATAGTTTCAGTTATTGACATTAAATGATTTGGTGTTTCCTAACAGAAATTTTTCAGAATTTCCATTCTGCAGTAACTTAACTTTTAATACCGTTTGGCACAAAAGCAAATTTCAAAATGTTGGCATATCCCGCAGGACATTCCATTCTCCAACCAGCTGTAGTAAAATATGACATCTTTTTTATGTTATTAATTATGATGGCTGTTCATGTCGGTTATCCTCTCTGAGAACAAGCATAGCACCCAGAAACCTGTGCAGACAGATGATTACCATCTTTTTTATCCACTAGATTCAGCGAGTTGTAGTTTCCAATTTGAGTAGCTCTGGAATCAGCTATAGAGATGGTGTTTTGCACTCCTCCCTGATAGATAATGTTTGTTGGATTATTCTGAATAATAACTGGCCCTGCTTCCTTATTTGCTCCAGGATTTGTTAGTTTGTAACCTGGGAAAGAACAAAACAAAACACATTAGTCACCAGTACGAAAGACAAACAATTTTCCTGGGAGAAAAGCAATTCTTGTCTTGTGACAAAACCCATCCCCTCTCTAGGCTTCAAAGTCTGCACAGCTATTGTTAGCCCTGTAATGCGAGTCCCACGCGCTTGAGTCTGTAAACCTGGGCTCTGAGACACTCCACAATGAGCTGCTGGCTCACTGGGTAGACACACTCTAGCAGAATCCTAGGACCTGGGTCCTGTGTGCTTGCTGACCCAAGACAGACTGATTTGTGTGTGGACCGAAGTGGGGCTTGGCCTCACACCTGAGTCAGAGCCCAGACTTAGTGTGCTGTGTAGACATACCTAAAGGAGCCCGTCATGTTACTAAGTCTGTGTATTTAGAGGGAGTAAGGGTTGTTTAGGTATCCTGTTTTTGTAGTGAAACTGACTGGTAGCAGTTATCTCTGTTGTCTCGTTATCTCAGAATGGAGGGTTGTGGGCAGGAAGTCGTTGAGAGAAGCTATGGAAGTAAGGGAGCCTGAAGTTACACATCGTGTGTGTGTGTGTGTGTGTGTGTGTGTGTGTGTGTGTGTGTGTGTGTGTGTGTGTGTGTGTGTGTG